TGCGTTTTACACAGGCTGCGCAGGAACACTCTATACATGTCTGCATGTCTGCACAGGGTCAGAGGGGATATCTGGGCTCCCAAACCCCAGCACAGGGACGCTGCCTGCTTAGGCTTCATGAGCCACGTTCACACGAAGTGCGTGAGGATGTCTGTGGAGACGTCTGTTCTTGGGGAACAATATTATGTTTACTACGGATCTAACGACTCCTTAATAAAAATCAAAGAATAAAATCATAGCTAAAGCCCTAATCTGCTGTTTTCTTACTGTCTTCGTGTCCCCTTGCTTGTGGTAGACGTTTGAAGGTCCATAAAGTAGGTGCTTGTTGAATTTACCTTGAACTATCTGTAGGTTGCAAACACACACACACACACACACACACACACACATATAATATACATATATAACTTTAACAAAATATTTAAATTTATTTATTTGAACATTTCTTAAGTACCTACTATTTGTAAGGCACTATACTTCACATTAGAACAAAGAGGGGAAATGTCCCTTCTTTCAAAGGCCATTCTGCTGTTGAATTCAACTAACAAATGGCCGTCCAGTTTGACTGGGAAGTAGAATGCACGAAGAGGTGAATGAAGCAAAGTGAAATCAGCCTAGATTTGTAGTTTGGAGTCATTTTTAAAGGGCCAGACTGAGGATTTGTGTTTGCCCTGAAGGCAATAGTAATGCCCTTCCTTGGGCTCTTGGATTAGTACCTCTGAGGTGAGGGCCTATGGAGCCCTTCTTCCGGCTGCTTATCCATCTTTGGTGTCCACCTGTCCCCCATCTCTCACCTCTGGCTCCAAGAAGCTGTAGCATGCACAGCAGCCACACCCTGGTGAACCATCTCAGCAGATCAGCTGTATAGCAGGTTGAGGGCAACCGACAGCCCTTAAACAGGTCAGAGAGTTAGAGGGATGTCTACCCCAAGCATGTGAAGACTTCCCCCAGTGGAATGGGTGGATAAGAACAATTTGTTCCAACAGCCTTGAAGGTGACTGAAGCAGATGCTGTGGAGGGCTTAGAGCTCGGTCAGACATCAAAGACACCAAGGTCATCCAGGGTGTCTCAGGCCATCACCAGCCATCTTGACTTTCGTCTTGCCACTGGACTTCAATGACTTTGGAAGAGGGAATGAGGCTGATGACTTCTCACAGCTCTGCCTCACTTAACTCCAATTCACACTTTAGTCAAGACATCACCCTGTGGCATCACTGATCCTCTTCAAAAATGAAGGATGAAAGGGCAGCTAGGTGGCTCAGTGGATAGAGCACTGGTCCTGAGGTCAGGAGGACCTGAGTTCAAATCCAGTCTCGGACTAGACACTTAACACTTACTAGCTGTGTGACCCTGGGCAAGTCACTTAACCCCAATTGCCTAAAAACAAACAAAAAAAATGAAGGATGAACAAGAAGAAGAAAACAAGCTCTTAGAGGGTTCCCCTTTGACTTTGATCTTCACCTGGGTGTCCTTCAAGTGGCTGAAGGAGGAAGTCCACAGCTGTTCTGAACCTCAGGCCGGGACTTTACTACATTCACTCCCTGCCCTTTTTCCTTGACCCTCGGGAAAGTTGCAGAGATTCACTTTCTGTCCTCCCTTAGCTCTCTACCATTATTACTCTATGAAAATCATCCCAAATGTCAATCTCCTCTCCCCTCGATAAATTCTGCCTTGCAACTCTTACTGTGATGGCATCAAATTAAATTTCAAATTTTAAAAAGAGAATAGTGTGAAGGTGTATCCAGGGGCTTCCTGGACAGAATAAAATGTTGAATTCCACTGTTTTGTTTGTTCAGGCAAAATCTCTCACCGCCACTGCTGTCACCTAAGTTTCAGTAAAACTTGGTTTGCCTTTGCCCTGATGCCCATCATGGAGTTGAGGGAGGCCTCCCTAAGCTGTCCTGGACCTCCTGAAATTTTGCCATGGACTCTAGAGAAAGTCCACAGAAGCCACCTCCAACTGTCTCTGGGGACAGGAATGGATTCTCTTTTAGAGAGGGATAGGACAGTATTTAGAAATCTCTTGACTTACTTGGTTCCTATCAGACCATCCTCTTCCCTAGCACAGGTCCAGTCTCTGCAGCAGTGGATGAGGGAGTAAAGGGAGGATGCTTCCAATAGCTAGCCTATCTCTTTCTCCTTCATCAAGCTGCTCCTCAAATAAGAGCAGCAGCCCAGCATTTGGCTGTCTTCTTTTGTACCTAGTACCTGTGGCCTGGGCACGGCTGAGCGCTCCAGAGCTTAAACTACTTTGGCCTTCCTGAGTCTCTGGCCTGGATCCTAGGAGAAGTCAGCAGTGATAGCCTGGAGGTCCTCTACTCATGACCCTTTGATTTGCCCTAGGATTGGGGGAAAGGGGTCTGCCTGAGTTTGGTCTTGGCACTTGCTGGATCGTGGAGGGAGGTGGAAAAGGTTGCTTTTGCATTTCTGGACCTTAGACTTGACCCCAGGAAGAGGGCAACATCAGCCTCAAGAGTCTCCACCTGATTCCACCTCCTTTGCTTTAAGTGACTTAAGGGAGGTGTGTGTATATGTGTGTTTGCTTGAGCTCACATGCGAAAAGGATGAGAATTCTCAGTGTGTGCTGCTTTGTGAATGAATGAAATGATTGAACTAAGGGTGTGTCTCATGAGGGGAGTGAATGAATGTGTGTTGAAGTAAATAGATGGATGAAGAGTAGGTAGCCCAGAGCAGTGCCTGGCCTAGCTCTTTCTCTTCTGCTTCAACTTATAGGACAGGTGGAAGACTCTCTGGCTTGGGTGCCCCTATGAGAGTGGGAGCCTGGCTGCTGTCCCCCACCTCAGGCTCTGCCTGTCTGCCCATAGGGGAAAGGAGCAAAAGCTCAGATACTCACTCCTGGCCTTGGCCCTGGCACCTCTTACCCTGAGGCTTTGGAGTCTGACCCCTAGAATCATCCCTTGGACACTGGTCATGCCCCTGGGGGAGGGGAGCAAGAACACAGAGGTTTAGAATTAATTCAGACACTAGAATGCCAGCTCCTTGTATGTAGGGATAGTTTCGTTCTTTGTTTTTATACCCTCAGAAACTAGTACAGGACCTGGCCTATAGTAGGGACTTAACAACAATAGCCAGCAAATTTGCAAAGCCTTTTACAAACATTCTCTCATTTGATCCTCACAACAATCCTGGGAGGTAGATGATATTATTATCCCCATTTTACAATTAAGGAAACTGAGGCAAACACAACTGAAGTGACTTGCCCAGGGTCACATAGCTTGCATGTGATTTGAACGCAGGTTTTCCCAACTCCAAGTCCAGTGTTCTAACCACTGGACAACTGGCTGCCTCAACAATACACACCTCACTTAATACTTGCCTGTTGACAACCATTCTCTTTTTTTTGAGTCCATATATGCTTTTATATATGTTCTTGTCTCCTCCATTAGAATGTAAGGTTGACTGATGTTGAATGTGAAAGTTGTAGAGACTTACTCTGGGCACAGGCTTTGTGAGCACAAAGTTCATTTCCACTCAGGAAGGATGTATTAAGTGCCAACTGTGTACCAGATGAAAGGCAGTATGGCATAGTGGATATAAGATAAGAAGACCAGGATGCCCTATGCAGTTGAAGTCACAGGTTCAGATGAAAAAAAAAAGTGACAGCCATGGAGGCATTGGCGCCTCGGGTACCAGATGAAAAAGGAAACAGCCCTGGCTTCAAGGGGCTTGCATCCTAGAAAGAGACAACATATACACAAATAATTAGATATAAATATATGCAAAGTAATTGGGGAAGGGTGAAGAGTACTGATAGCTGTGGGAATCAGGGGAGAGGTGGCACAACATCTGTCCCCCTCTCTACCCAACCAGCCTCTATCATGGGTCTATCCCTCATCACTTCTTACCTGGATTGTTGCAATAAGTTCCTACTTGGTCTCCCTGACTCTGGTCTCTCCTTTCTCCAATCCACCCCTTACTTGCTTGTACTTCATTTTAGCCTTTGTGTGTCAAGTGCCTAGCACACAGTAGATACTAATCAATGCAGAGGCTAGGCTCAGGGCACTTCAGAATGCTAATGGGACAAGATGACCCATGCCTGGTGTGCACCATGGTCAGGAAAAAACCTTGTAATTCCCATCTGGAGTGAGAGAAATAGGAGCCATGGCAGAAGGGAGAAGTTTAAGGGGTCTGAGGGAGAGAGGGAGATGCCTGCCAGTCATAATCCAACCTCTTCTCACCCACCCTGGCTGACATCAACTCTCCAGCTTTGCTAGGTAGGCAATAGCCAGGTTCCCCTCTCGGGCCTGCATCCTCTCTTTCCCTCTCCTGAATTCAGGCAACAAAGTCTATGAAACTCCCAACTTTTAACAAGTGACGATCATTTCCTCCTGGAACTTCCTGGACCATATCCCAGTGGAGGGGGCGGGGAAGAGAGGGCGGGGTGAAAATTATAAAAAGACGAAATATTTTTAAAATCCAAAAGCCAAGAGGCAGAACACCACATCGGGGTGTGAACAAACGTGAATACACACACTCACGGGGCCACAAATGCAAACCGATACACTCCCAACACAGAGGAAAAAACCCAGATCCACGGGCGGGGGGGGAGGTGGGGTGAGAGCAGCCATCAAGGTGGCACACACGCAGAGATGCGCACACAGGTGCACACTCAGGAAAACACATATTTGTGGTTTCCTATGTGAAATCATAGATTCATCTAGGCAGATTTATCATTCCCTCTCATCCCTCTCTCATCACCCCTCCCCAAAAAGCGCAAATGTGAAGGTTTGCACATACACGCGCGCGCGCGCGCGCGCGCACAACACACACACACACACACACACTCACACACACGCGCGCACACACACAGAGCCAGCTCTGGGCGGGCTACGTCACCCAGAGAGCTTTCCTTATCGGGACTCCCTGGCCCACATCCTGTGTCCATATTTGGGCATTTACGTCACAGCGACCGGCCGGGACTCCAGAAATGGAAGCGGCCCCGGGAGGCGGAAGACCCGCGCCAGCCCAGCAGCCAGTATATAAGTGGGGGCTGCGGGCTGGGGGAGAGGAGCTGCACCTTACTAAACGCGAGGAGCCGGAGCCTGGACCCCTAGCAGCCGCTCCAGGGGGGAATCCCCAGAGCCCCCAAGCCCTACAGCCTAGCAGATCTCAATTCTCCAAAGCCCAAGGCTGGGAAGCAGCATCCCTCCCGCTGCAGAGTACCTGTAGGGAGCACGGATCGCCATTCCCTTACCTCCCAGAGGCAGGGTCCCCAAGGCCCCTTCTGTGCGCTTCCCCATCCTTGAAACCGGGGCCCCCATTCCGCCATGCTGAACATGAGCGAATTCTGCCCAGAAGCTCTTTTCGCCAAGTACCCTGAGGGATGCGTTGAGACCAGCCCGGAGACTTTGCGACCGGGGAGAGACCCCTCCCTCTCTGGCTTCCCGGGAGGTAAGGAGATCCCCCTCCAAACACAGACACACAAGCTAAAGAAGCCCCTCTTTTCTCAGTATAGGGCAGTATGGAGGAGAGCCAGGTTCCGCAGGTGGCGGTAGTAGGGATGGACGGGTGGATGGATGGATGGTTGGATGGATGGATGAATGGATGGATGGATGGATGGATGGATGGATGGATGGGTGGTTGGATGTATGATGGATGGATGTGCGTATGCGTTAACAACCAGGGAACTGAAATATTGTTATGCACAATGGTGCGGGGAAAGCGTGGGAGGGAAGGTTGAGGCCAGTGGGGATGGGAGTTGGGGATTAGTCCCTCTTCCCACCAAGTCCCCAGATCAGCAATACTGCCATCTCAGCATGAGTCCTTGCGCTTATCAGAGTCCATCTGCGTGGGCATGCGTGTGTTCCTCCGTGTGCATGTGAGAGATGTGTGTGTGCGCGTGGTCATCGTGTGTGTGCACCTCTGTCCGTGCCCCAGTGGCTCGCTCCCACCCAGCTATAGGGCTGCAAACATGCCTTGGGACTGGCGAGCTTTCGTGTGAGTGCCTGAGGGCACAAGCCTGGTGCAGCGATATTTGTGCGGGGGGGTGGGGGGGAGAGGAGTGAAACCTTGTGCACTAGTGTTCTCGGGGGCAACGCAGCGCAGCCTGAAGTGGTCAAGTCAGAGTCGGGGTTCCTGAGCTGAGGAATGTGCGTTACTGACACCCTCCCCTTCCCCCTTCTCATCTACGCTCTAACGCCTTCGGTCTCCGCTGCTCTCTCCCTGCAGGTGACTTCCTGAGCTCTGCGCTGAGTGGTGCTTGTGATACCTCGGATTATTTCTTTCTGGAGGGTCCCTCTCCCCCCACCCCAGCCTGGCCTCAGTTATACTGGCAGCTTCTTCATCCAGGCCATTCCTGAGCACCCACACGACCAGGAGGCCCTATTCAACCTCATGTCGGGGATCCTCGGCCTGGCTCCTTTCCCTGGGCCGGACGGAGCTGTCCCTCGGGCTCCGCTGGACGCCCTGTACGCTACTAGCCCGGACACCTCACTGGCTGGGCCCTTGGACCTCTTCCCGGCTGATCTAGGCTCCGCTACTCCCTTTCCGGAGACTCCGTGGGAGACCTCACCGACTGCGGGCGCCTCCCCGCAGTGCCTCTATGAGCCCCAGCCGTCCCCACCCGACGTCAAGCCGGGCCTCCGAGCCCCTCCTGTCTCGCCGGCCCTAGACGCTGCTCCGGCCTTCAAAGCCCCCTATGGGCCTTGGGACCTCTTGTCGGCAGGCACTCCGAGCTATCTGCCTCAGGGAGGCTATCAGCCTAGCCCCGAAGCTGGCTTCCCCCCGCTGGGCTCCAAGATAGAGGATCTGCTGCAAATCAGCTGTCCCGCGGAGCTGCCAGGTCCGGCCAACAGAATCTATGGTGGCACCTACGATACCTTCTCCCTGTCCAGCTCCAGTCAGCTGCCCTCGGGCGACTTCGGGGAAGGGGGCGAGGGCCTCCAGCCAGGGCTCAGTCTGAGCCCCCCCGGGGAGGGCGGCGGCGGTGGGGACCTGCTAGCCCGGGCACAACCTTCTCCATTAAGCCTCGCCCTCCCTGGCCCAGCCTCAGACTTCTCGATAGTGCCAACAACTGCAACTGATTTCCCTGGGGCTGCGCAACTCCCACCACCGACGGCGGCTCCGCAGCAATCTCAGCCACCCCAGCCGCCGCAGCCGCCGCAGCCCGCGCAGGCTGAGCCTAGGCGTAAGGGGCGGCGGGGCGGCAAGTGCAGTCCTCGCTGTTTTTGTCCTCGGCCCCACGCCAAGGCCTTCGCCTGCCCGGTGGAGAGCTGCGTCCGCAGCTTCGCCCGCTCAGACGAGCTCAACCGCCACCTGCGCATCCACACTGGCCACAAGCCTTTCCAGTGCCGGATTTGCCTGCGCAACTTCAGCCGCAGTGACCACCTCACCACGCACGTGCGCACCCACACGGGTGAGAAGCCTTTCGCCTGCGACGTGTGTGGCCGTCGCTTCGCGCGCAGCGACGAAAAGAAACGTCACGGCAAAGTGCATCTGAAGCAGAAGGCCCGGGCCGAGGAGAGACTCAAGGGGCTGGGCTTTTACGCTCTGGGCCTCTCCTTCGCTGCCCTCTAAACTCTTTCTTAGTTCGCCCTGCACTGTACTGGATGACCACGGAGGCTCTGCGCCATGAATAGAGACAGCCTACTGTCAGGGGGCCAAACCCTCGACTAGCTTCGTCCTCGCCCCATCCTTTGAGTGGGGACCAGAACCCCAAGGGTCCTTCAATCCCATTCCTCTAATGGGTCCCACCATCCCCCTCGCCCTGCCCCAATGCCCTTTCCCTACTGCCACTCCGGACCAACGCCAGGAGGCGATCCTAATTTTGCTCGGTTTTGTCCGAGGGTCGCGGCAAGTTGGTTTTAGTTGAGTGTGCCCGGCCAAGCTCGGAAGGTTGGCTGTTCAGCACCACTGCCCGAGGACAGCTCCTCCGGAGCTCCTGGCCCAGGGAGCCCTCTCTCTCCTACCAGGCACTTTCTTTTCAAAGACTCAGGACACAGACGATTGTCTTTTCTACTCTGGGCCCCGACTCTCCTCACCCCACCACCACCCAGACGCGGGGGGCTGGCGGAGGTATAATCCTCGATCCAGCTCACTGGACGGGGTAGGGAGAGTGTTTCTTTGTACAGATCTGTCTGAGCAACCCTCGGGTACGGCGTTCGCTTTTCTGGTTATTATTTATTTATCGATTTTGTAAAGCAGATGCTGCTCTCAGGCAGGTGATAAAGCTGTGTTTATTTTTGCAATTAAAGCGTTTGTGCAAAAAAAAAAAAAAGTCCAGTTGCTGGCTTCCTTCAGTTTGCTGCAACCTGCCGCCCTCCCCCCTACTCTGCCCCAGCTCAGTACTATGAGACCCCTGGTCTGTCTCTGCTCACTAGAGGGGAACCTTTGGTCTGATAAACTACCTGAGAGCTCCTTCCCTCAAGGAGAACCTAGTCTGAAGGAAGAGTCTCAGCCTTTGCCCTCAGGGAGCTGGTTTGATAGGGGTATCGTGGAGGGCCTTGGCTCTTCAGAAACTCATCTGATGGGGACGGTGGGACACACACAGAGAAAAGGAATCAGGTCCATACCATAATAGCTCATAGGATGTTGCAAGAATGAGATGAAATGTGTATGTAATAAAAATTTACCAGCTATGATTATGTAACTTACCGTGGACCAATCTGTTGGGAAATGGATTGAGTCTGCTCCTGGAGCAATTGGATGCCAGATATCTATCCCTCTACACATATCAGAATGACATGCATGGAAGAATATGGCCTAGACGCTAGATTGCTGGCTCTGGAGGCAGGACTTACGTTCAAAACTTACCCAGGAATTGGCTGTGTGACTCTAGGCAAGTCACTTAATTTCTCTGAACCTCCATTCCCCATCAGTAATATGAAAATAGTAATAGCATCTACTCACAGAGTTGATGTGAAGATTAAATGAGATATTATGTTGTACATAAAGCAAAGCAATTTGCAAGCCTTAACATGCACTATAAATTGTCAGCCATTATTATTGTTATATAATATCACATCCAGTCAGAGTGGTAGAAGAAAGGAGTGCTTTGGGAAAGATTGGAGCAACATGACATCATAGGGTGGAGTTAGTCTGGGAAGGTTTCCAAAAGGAGGTGAGTGGTGGAGTTGAGTTTGGAAGAAATCCAAAGACTAGATTTGGCAGCAGAGAAACAAAGAACGCTGGTTTTCAAAACCCTGCCAGGGTAACTGGACACAATGATAATAATACACACTAACTGTAGTCTCTGACACAGCCTGATTGTGTACTCCAAAGAATCACAGGCTCTTGAAATGACATAAACTAAATCCCTCATTTTACGGATAATGAAATACACGCATCTCTATTACATACAATAATGATGATAACAAGAAGTCATTTATATAGCACCTGGTCATTTACAAAGTTCTTTCCTAAAGTCCAGTGGGTATTGTAACACATCATTATCTCCATTTTACAGATCCAGAAGCAAAGTGTGCCTGAGGTATAGCATACATATATATGCATGACATATAGGGGTATTATATGTAATATATAGATACATAACTACTTTATAATATGTACACAAAAATAAAAAGATGGTTCCTATATCTAGTTGTTTATCATTAAGGAGATCTCAAGTGAATTTCCTATTTAATGGTTGGTTCCATGTTTCTGAGACCTTTTCACCCCCTAGCCTAATGGTAATGCTGATAAAGGATAACATACATGTGGCTTTTAAGATTTGCAAAGCAGGAGAAGAGTGGAGTAGTGGAATAGGTGTTGAGCTTGGAATCAAATAAGACTCCAGTACTTCAAATCTGCAACTTATTTCTTGGTGTTTCCTTGGCTTCTTCATGGGCAAAATGGGGGTAAAATTTTTGCATTGCATGCCTCACAGAGAGTTGTAGGGAAAAAATGCTTTCTAAACTGAAAAGTGCCGTGTAAATCTGTATACGCAATTTTTAGGAATAGGGAATGGGAAGACCAGACCTGTGATTCCATAAGGCAATAAGGAACTCTCAGCTGAGGAAAATCTCTCTACCAACGCAGTTTTCTACACTTCTCTACAACTTTAAAGTCTTAGAAAATTGTTCAAGGCCACAGAGTCAGTATGTATCATGGACAGGATTTGAACCTAGGTCCTCCTGGCTTCCAGTCTCTCTTTCCACTAGACCAGGGACCTCAGGGCCATATGGTGGCCCTCTAGATCCTCAAGTGTAGCCCTTTGATTGAATCCAAACTTCACAGAACAAATCCCCTTCATAAAAGGATTTGTTCTGTAAAACTTGGACTCAGTCAAAAGGCCACACCCAAGGACTCAGAATGACTAGTGAGTAGACCATGCTGCTGTTATTGTTATCATTATAAGTTTGTCCTCTGTAACAATGAAGGGATTAGATCATGACTTTGAAAGTCTCTTCCAGTTCTGACATTCTGTGAGACAGCTGAGAACCTGGGAAAGGTGGACCACAGAAATGGGGCCCAAGTTTGGGGTACACTCTGGATCCCACTTTAAAAGAGTTCCCTTAACAATGGTTTACCCACCTGCTCTTCCTCTAGGATTACAGTCAGCAGCTTTGCTGGGATACAAGAGGTGCTTAACATGGGGGGGCTACTCCCCACAAATAGGAAGGGCCCCCCTCCCCAGTTCTGCTCCCTTATTACACAACCTCCATAAGCTCAGGAGTTCTTGCTATTTGCCTCTCCATTCTGGTGCCAAACCTAAAACACACACACACACACACACACACACACACACACACACACACACACACACATTCTCTTTCTCTCTCTCTCTCTCTCTCTCTCTCTCTCTCTCTCTCTCTCTCTCTCTCTCTCTCTCTCTCTCTCTCTCCCCAACAGCCATTAATGGGAATGAATAGTTCACATTTACATAATACTTAAAAGTGCTTTCCTTGCAATAATCCCGTCAAGAAGTTATCATGAATATTATTCTCATTTTACAAATGAAGCAATTGAAGTGACTGACTTGCCCAGAATCACAGCTAAGTAAATTTCAGAGCCAGACTCAAATTAGGATATTGGGTCTCTAAAGCTAGTACTCCCTCTGCTTTACCAGGCTGCCTCAGGCCTGGTGAATTCTAATGTTACAGATAATCTGTCTGTCATCAGAGCCTAATTTCTATGATAAAGTACAACCTCCTAAGATAAAAGGGAACTGGGAGCTTGGCCCCTTCTTCTGATACACCCCATGTGTTCTGTCACTTTTGCTAAATAAAGGGCATGAACAACCAGAGTCTGGAGAGGCTCCTGGGTGGCCCCCTAGTCACCATGACAAAGAGACTGTGTCAAAGAGGACTGGTCAGTGAACTAAGAGGCCACCTACTCAGAAAGCTTAAAGGAAGAGATAAAACATCTACCACTCCATCTCTCTTCCCCCATTTTCCAAAGTGTGGTTTGGGACTCCACCAATTCTCTCCTGGATTTCTAGCAAGCATATAAGAAGGTTTCCCTCCCTTTTCCCCTCCTTAAGAACAGTAAATGTGGCTACAGGCAATATGATAGGGAGAGAATGTTTTACTGAGTTGAGCCTGACACTCAAGTCTTTCACTGCTTCTGCTTTGGATAGTTTTCCTGAGCGCAGGCAACCCAGCATCAGTCCTGAAAAGAATGTTCCTAGACTTGGGAGCTACCTCATGAGCTGGAGAGGTCCAGCCAAGGCACTGGTTGCCCATTGGGAGGAGCTTCCTACACCTTTGTCTTAAGGAAAAGATCCTCACCACCATCCCTAAGAAAACAAGCCATGCATTCCTGGCTGGGCAGGAGATGTGGGTCTTGAATGAGTACTCAGATGATACATACCTGAGGTAACTGTTCAACAGCCCCAAAACTCTCCTGGAAGTCTTTGCTTCCCAGAAGAGTATAAAAGTCATTTTATGCTTTAACTATTTGTCAATGAATACATTTGAGTCTTCTTTGTTATAAGCACTTTATTTGTGGTAGAAAAAATAAATAGCTGTCCTGTGGGAATCTGATATCTCCTCAGAGAGAAAGGTTAGTCCTATGAATGGGTATCTGAGGAATTCAGAATCATAATCAGACCTCTGAGGTCATCTAGTCTGATACATACCAGACCAGGAAGCCTCCCAGCAGTATTTCTGAGAAGCATTCATCCAATCCTTGTTGGAAGATCTCTAGCAAGGTCTTATCCACTTGCCTCCTTATTTCATCTGTTCTACTTTGTTGCTATTCAGTCATTTCAGTCATATCCAACTTTTTGTGACCCCATTTGGAGATTTCTTGGCAAAGATATGGAAGTAATTTGCTATTTCCTTCTCCAGCTCATTTGACCTATGAGAAAATTAAGGCAAACTGGGTAAAATGACTTGTCCAACATCATACAGCTAATGTCCGAGGCCAAATTTGAACTCAGGAAGATGAGTCTTGCTGACTTCAGACTGGACTCTTGGTACCTGACTTCTGGTACTCTATCCACTTTGCCACTCACCTTGGGTACATCAAGTAACTTTTCTAGAAGGCACCTATTAATATCCTTTTGAAGATACCTTAGACATAAGCCACACCTCAACTTCAAGAGATTTACCCCAGTGTAGAAGTTCTGCTCTGGGCTGAGGAAAAAATGAGCCCAATAGTTCAAAAACAGAGTTTCTAACTTTATCTTATTGTATTCCACTTTACAATCCCTTAAGCTCCAATCAAATTTCCCAATCCTCTTTTAAATATATGTGTATGTGTATATGTGCATATGTGTGTATATGTATGCATGCATGTGTGTATATATGCATATGTATGTATGCATGTGTGTGTGTGTGTTGTGTGTGTGTGTGTGTGTGTGTGTGTACTCTTGTATTTGTTCCCTGTGTTAGAATAGCCTGTCCTCCCCTCATCCCTTGTGGAATTCAAAGCCATTCTGCAAAGTCCACTTCAAATGCCTTCTCTCCTCTTTCAAGCCTCCTCCAGTCCCCTGGCTGGCATGATCTTTCACCCCCTCAAATGTGACACAGCCACTGTTTTTCCCTCCCTCCCAGACACTTATCAATGTATTCTTTTACATTACAGTTATCTGCATGCATCTGTTAACCCCAAGCTATTACCTCCATATCTAATCAACACTGCATACCACCATAGTCACTCCCCCACCTAACACTAGGCTCCATACTCAGAAGGCTCCTAATTCATGTTTGTTGAATTAAATGAAATCATAGAATCTCAGAATGTGAAGAAACCTCACAAACCACCTAGTCAAACCTGTACCTGACCAAGAAGCCCTTTTACAATATCTCTGAAAAAATGGTCGTCAAACTTTGGCTTGAAGTCTTTCAGTGGCAGGGAATCCTGTGCCCCCTAAGGCAACCCATTGCACTTCCAGAGAACTCTAAAGAGAAAGAAGGTTTTTGAGCCTAAATCACAAACATTTCAACTTCTCCCCATGGCTGCTTAGTACCGCCTTTGGAGTCAAACAGAACAGGTTTGCCTCTCACCAAGAAAAACACTAGCTCACAGGTTTACAAAGTGCTATGCTTGTATTATCTCATTTAATCTTCCCAACAACCCTGTGAGCTGGATACTATTATAATACCTATTTATAGAGGAGGGAAGTGCCCAGGTCATTCATTAACAAGGTCTGAGGCAAGATGCAAGCAAACTCTTGCGCCACCAAGTGGCTATTGGGAGCCAAACCTCTTCACGTTCCTGAAGATAACAATTAATTCCCTGTCTACCCTCCCACTCACCCCTAGTCTTCTGTTCTTCACAGGATTGTTCATTTGGTACTTTTTTTACGTGGTATGACTTTATGCAAACATATCCATATACAAATTTTTGTTGGTTTATGCATATGTACATAAATATATTACTTTTGGCACTAGACCTAAGAATTCACTGGGCTAGAGAACTGTTTGGTGCCTACTCTGCAGTTTACTTAGTCTTAGAACTCTAAGACTGGGTCACTGAGAGGTAAGTTCAGTGGTTTGCCCAGAGTCACAGAGATAGGATCTGAACTCAGAATCTAACATTCTCAAGACCCTTGTTCTCCACCTCTCTCATATGTAAATGCATTGTACTTAGAAATGTGTGTGTGTGTTAAATATATTGTTACAGTATATGAAAAATGCCCATTTACGCATATTAATAGAGGAACCATGGTGTAATCGAGTTCTGTGCTTAGATTCAGGAAGACCCAGATTCCAATCCTAATTTTGACCCTGTCTGCAAAATCCTAGACAAGTCACTTACCTTCTCCACTACTTAGGATTCAGTTTCCAAGTCATTGAAGAAATCCCATTTACCTTGCATATTCATAGATCACAGCACCATAGACTTAGGGCTAGAAGGGACCTCATATAGGTTTTAGTCCGATCCCCTCATTTTGCAGAACTTTACATATGTGGAGAAAAATAGCCTCTGTGGTCAGGTAGATAGAAGGGCAGGTCTAGCCACATGTGGCCTCAAGGTCACAGGTTCCCCAACCCTGGACTAGATGTCGCTACCTGCATTGGTAGAGCGAATTTGCTACACCAATAAAATCACTGGTCCTGTGGACTAAAAAAAAAAAAGTGCACATAACACATGCATGTATATATGCATGCATATAGGTATTGTTTTCCAAACTAGACTATAGGTTTCTGGAGGGTAAGGGCTAGAGCCTAGCACATACATACTTCAAGACTTCTAGGATCCATGATTTTGTCAACATGCATGGCCTCAGTTTTTCAGGCCAAGAAATTCATCACAGAGTTAGGAGGGAACTCAGAAAATATTGAGTCAACCCCCTGATTTGAACCCAGGTCTTCTAAATCCAGAGCCAAGGAATATTCTTTCCACTGTACTATAATGGCTTTCACCAGATGAGCAAACTATGATGATCCTCTCTGAATTTTGATGGGCTGAGAAACCTACTAGCATCAGCCTTCTGGGAAGAAGTGAAATTTTTCTAGCTCCATAGAAACTGCCCAAATTCATGTTTAACTGGTAGAGCCTTCCACAGGTCAGGGTCAGGTCTCATGCTTCAGTGAAGCATAAAGGCTAGTCTTTGTTGACAGTCTACCACTCAGAAGGCATCTAATAGCTATTTTGTTCAATTGAACTGGGGAGGGTTAGCAGACAGGGACGAAGGATTAGAGAAAGAGGAGGATTCATAAGGAGGTGGAGGAGTTGGGAAGGAGAAGAAAGAGGAGCTAGACGATGTGGGGAGGAGGGAGAAAAATATTTAGAAGAATAGAAGGGGAAGAAGAGGAGAGAGGAGGAGGAGGAGGGTGAAAGTGAAAGAGAAGATGGTAATGGGGCAGGCCAAAGCAGAAGTGGGAAAAAGAAAAGAGGAGGGAAAAGGAGGGGCATAGCCGAGAGCCCAGGAGGCAAATGAGACAGCTGCTGAGGTTGGTAAAGAGCACAGCTCAGGATGGCTGTGTCTCTGTGTCTCTCTTTGCCAACCTGATTGCCTATCTCTGTCTCTGGCTTCCTATTTCTCTTTGTTTCAGCTATTTCTTTCTGTGAATGTGTAAAATGCCTCTCTGTCTCTATTTCTCCTTCTTCCTGTCTCTGACTTCATTTCTCAATGTCTCTGGCTCTCTGGCACACACTAGGTGGGTTTTAAGATAAATATTTTTAGAGCCAGAGTTCCCATAACAACCAAGTGGGAGCTGCTTCTCTGTGAGACATGGCGTGGGCATGCATACACATACACACAAATGCACACAAACACGGACACGCATGGGTTCATACACAGAAATACATATAAGCAGATATACAGAAAACACACAAAAATAGAGATATATGCAAATACAGACACATAGATTCACACAAACACATATAGAGATTCACACAGACACCAAGCCCAGATACACACAAATCAGATGCACGTAGATATGGAAACAAGAAATAGAAAAACCACACACATCAAGATACATGCACAAACACCCAATTACACAGAGACATAAAGACACACAGATATACAGAGAAATATGCAGACACACAAGCACAATTGTTCACAAATCCAGGCACACAGGCATACACTGCCACACCCAGGAGATGCTCATGGACACAGAGAAACACAGTGACTCACAGGCAGATAGAGATCCATGAGAATAGAGGAAGGGGAGACAAACAGGTTGGATTATAAACAAAGAACCAACTCAATCAATGTTTATTCAACAAATATTTAACCAAGAAATAAATTAGCATCAAATCAATCAAGTGATTGCCTTGGCCAATCAAAACTGGCCTTTACATTACATCCAAGGTAAGAGTAAATGTTTTGGGGAAACCAAACTTGGGCAGGACTTTCACTTTGGGAAACTATGAGGCCCCTGAAGAAGTCATTTCGTCTTTGACCAGTCCAGGGATACTTCTTAGAAGAAGGTGAAGATATCCATTCAAGAGATACCCCTTTTTATGTGGAAAGGAGCCATCATCCTTGGATGTATCCTGGTCCAAACTTCCTGCACTGGTCCTGGGACCTAGGCCAGCATAGCCAGAGGAACTTGAGTGTCCCAATGGGCCAATGTAGCCAGATGTTATGGCAGCCAGATGTAATAATGGCGGCATGAATTATCCTGTTTCCAAATCTTGGCAAGATCTGAGCCTTGGGAATACTTGGGAGGAGGGAGAAGTGTTTATCACCTGAATGAAGAAGCCAGGAGAGAGTACATGTAGTCACTGAGTGAAGCCAGTGTGGAATATTAGGGAGTGTAGGGCAGAACAGGGATTAAGTGCAGTCTATTCCACGTTCATAGTGTGTGAGGGACAAAGGCTGTGGAGGTGGGACTCCTCAGAATCCATTTGGTATTAGACAATGAGGTAGAGTGGATTCTAGGGCCAGGCAGAAGCTGGCAAACCCTGCTGGGTAACTGGCAGAAGAGGTTATGAAAGCCTAGGCTCCCAAAGCCAATCCCCAGTGAACGATATCAGCATTTGGAGAACACAATAAGGAAAGAGCCTTATGAGTCTCCAAGTGGGAAAAGAGTACTCAGGGGAAAATCAATGCCCCACTCTGGAAGTGAAAGCCATCGGCAGCAAGTGGCAAACACTTCTGTGAGCATGTACATGTACAGCCATGTTAGATGTGAAGAACTGCAGGACATCAGAAAGACTCTTCAGATCAAAGTTCAAATCCTGGCTCTTCTATTTACTGCCTGTGTGACCTTGGGCAAATTATTTACCTGTAAGATAAAGGGGTTGGACCAGATGGTCTCAAAGGTCATTCTTCTAGCTCTAAATCTACCATCCAAGAAAGCAGAGCTTCTTAGCCTTTTTTGTGCCCGGTCCCCTTTAGTGGTGCCTGGCAAAGCCTATGAACCCCTTTCCAAAACCATGTTTTTAAGTGCACAATAAAATACCTAGAATTACAATGGAAAGCAACTGAACTATAGCTATTAATTTTTTAAAAGCTAGGTTCCTGGATGGACCCCCAGGTTAAGAACCCCTGCTCTAAAGACTGGGCAAAAAAAAGGTGGAAAAAAAGTTTGGCCTTATACTGTAAGGATAAGCACCAGGAATGCTAAACCTATGAATGAACTGTGGTTGGAAACAAATTTAAGAACAAAAGAAAAGAAACAGGGGATCATTTTCTCTAGACTGAGAAAAACAGGATAGGACCACTGCCCAGGGAGAAAGGAAAGATGATAAAGGATGATGGGAAGAAGACAGAATCCCTGGATTCTTATTTGCTTCCCCTTTTCTCTGCCAAAGAGAATGGTCTTTGGACTGGAAAGCACAGAACAAAGATGGCAGATGGGGAGGCAAAACCCAAGGTAAGAACGGTAAGAGGAAGAAAGAATCTCACTGTCCTTGAGGAACTCAAGTCATTTGCCCAAGATGAAAGTCTTCTTGAGAGTTCATAAATGTTTGTTGAGTAAAAGTGCCTACTCAGTCCAGAATACTATGCTTGGCATTGGAAAGAAAGGGTATTGAAAAAAAAAAAGGGTATTTAGAGAGAGCACATGATCCCTGACCATGGAGCTTGGATAGTAGAGAAAGCTGGGCATTGATACAGCCCATCAAGGTGAGAAAATGCCTTACCTGTATTTTCATTTGATCCTCAGATCCAAACATGGTCTTTCTTACTTAGGAAGCTCCAGCGGCTCCCAATTACCTCCAAGATAGATGACAGAGAGATAGAGGGGGAGGAGAGAGAGACAGACAGAGACAGACAGAGAGAGAGAGGGTGGGGGGATGAGAGAGAGAGAGACAGAGAGAGAGGAATATATTGTGAACAAAGGAATGAATACATAAACAGAACAAATAAACAAGTGAACGATTAAATAGATGAATCAGTGAATGAATAGCTGAATAAATGAATGACTAAATAGGCAGCTAAATAAATAAATGATTTAATTAACTGACTAGTTAATTAATAAACCACGCTTCCCAGTTTGACACTTGAAGCCCGTGAAAATTGGACTCCAGAACATTTTTCTAGACTTGAAGCACCTTCATCATGTTCCATGCAAACTGGCCTCTTTGTGCTCACACCTAATATTCCATATCTAGTCTTCATACCTGTATTCAGGCTATTATCACCCATACCTGCCTGACATGCCCTCTTTCCATCTGTGCTTCTTAGAATCCCCCATGTCTTCCATGGCTTTGCTCCAATGCCACTGAGCATATACATGGGTCTAGCCTACCTTCTCCCCTCTCCAAATTATTTTGTATTCACTTTAAGTTTATTTCACTGTGTTCACAGTGTTTCCCATTTAAAACACAAGCTTCGTGCAGACAGGGGTCAATATGGTTCTATCTTTGTATCCTCAGCACGTGGCATGTGGCTAGCATACAGTGGGTGCTCAATAAATGCTCTGACTGAATTGAATGTATGATAACAATAAAATAACTCAAATTTCTATCACATTTTGAGATTTGAAAAACACTTTCCTCAAAATTCAGTGAGTTGAGTTGAATGAGAATTATTATTCTTATACAGATGGGGAAAAGAGGATCTGGGAGGTAAAGAGCCTTATTCACTACACAAAACTGCCCTTCTGAAAGAACTGGGGGCAGGTGTCATTACTGAGCCAACAACACTGTACCTTGAAAGAATATAGAAAATGTGAGAAGGACCCCAGCACTGGAGAAGGGCAAACATCCTTGGCTTCAAAAGAGAACAGAGTAGAACCTGCCAACTGAAGGCCAGTGAGTTTGACTTCAATTCCTGGCAAAAATTCTAGAATGGCTTATTAGAGGAAAGAGATGTGAGCATCTAGAAGCAGTGACCACAGAGACAACATGGCTCAGTCAAGAGCAGGTCATGACAGATTCACCTTGCTTCCTTTTCTGATGAGGTAATTAGACTGGTAGATGAAAGCAAGCCTACAAATAGAATATTTAGCAAAGTATCTGACAAATTATCTTAGTCTTTTCAATTGATTTGTTGATCTTTAAATTTTCTCTATTTAAAATTTAATTTGTTTTAATTGATGAAAATCTATTTTCTCTCCCTCCCACTTAAAAAAGAAAGAAAAACAAAAATCTTATAACAAATAGTTATGTTATCCTTTTAAAAAAGATGGAGATGTGTGACCTAGACAAGAGTAGAAAACTGACTGGATGACTGGTTTCAAAGACAAGTCATTGATGAGTCTATGTCAACCTGGAGTCCCTTGGATCTGTGCTTGACCCTACAATGTTTGCCATTTTTATCAATGACTCGGATAAAGGCATAGCTGCAAACTGATTAAATGATCAGGTGTCAGATTGCTAGGAGAAAGAGCTAACATGATGCATGACCAAATCAAGATTCCCAAAGATTACAATAAGCTAGAGTGAGTCAATTCTAACAAAATCCAATTTAACAAGAGATAAATGTAAAGTCCAATGAATGGCTTCAAAAAAAACCAACCTCACCAGTACAAGATGGAAGAGGCATAGCCAATGGCCAGTTTGTCTGAAAGAGGAAGGTTTAATGGATTTCAAGCTCCACATGAAGAAGAGGTTTAATATGGCAGCCAACATGGGCAGCTGAACCAAGACCCAGACCGTGGAAGACAATCTCTGTGTGTTATGCTCTGGTTAGACTACATCTAGAACATAAGGTTCATGAGTCTGAGAACATTTTAGAATGAATATTGTCAGGTTGGAGACCATCCAGAGGAGAGAGCCCAGTTTGATAAGAGGCCTTGAGTCCAAACCTTAAAAGAATCAATTGAAAGAACTAGGGGTGTTTAGCCTGAGGAAGAGAAAGGAAAAGAAGATTTAGGGGGCACAAGATATTGGCCTTCAAGTAGGTGAAAGACCATATGCAGAAGGATTAGCCTTGTTCTGCTCGGTCTCAGAGGACAGAACTTCCAGCAATGGGCAGAAGTTTCAAAGAGGTCATTTTAGGCATGATGTCAGGGGGGGAAAAACCATTCTAACAATGCAAGCTGTCCAAAATGGAATGGGCTGCTTTGGGATGTAGTTGGTATCTCCCTCCTAGAGATTTTCAAGCAGAGGTTGGATGGTCAGTTGTCAATGCCGTACAGAGAATTCTTGGTCTGGGACAGGTCAGATTAGATCTCCTCAGAGGCTCCTCCCAACTCCAAGGTTCTGTCAGCACCTCAATGCACAGGGGAAGAAACAGGCCCAGACAAGAGAAGAGATTTTCCAAACTCACATATCTGGACCATGAAGGAAGATTGTTCTGACAGCTGAATGAAAGATGTGTTGGAGATGGGAGGCAGGAAAGCCCATTAAAGTAGTTCAGGAAAAAGGAGGTGAATAAAGGAGGCAGCAGTGGGAATACCAGGACATTTCTTTGATGCTCAATTTGCTCATAGCAAATTTAAGTATGCAAAGAGTATATAACAGCATCTAAAGGACCTAATAAAGACTATCTTTTATATAGTACTTTTAAGGCTTGCTAAGTGAACTCCTCAGCCAATCCTCACAAGAACCCTTGGAAGCCAGAGCTATTATTATCCCCATTTTACAGATGAGAAAACTGAGGCAAATAGAGGTTAAATGACTTGCCCAGGGTCAAGTTAAGACACTTACTGCTAGTAAGTGTCTGAGGCCACATTGGAACTCAGGTCTTCCTGTCTCCAGGCAAAGCACTCTCTTTACTTCTCCACCTAGTTATCCATATTTACAGGATTGTTGCAAGGATTAAATAAAATAATAGAAAAAGAATGATCCATAAACTTAAAAACATTCTGTGTTCCTATGATCCTATGTGCCAGCGATTATTTGCATCACTTGCTGTCTATCCTGTGTAAGAATTCGTCTATAGTCTTCAAGAAACTCTGTCTCAACAGTTATAAAAATACTATGGTGTAGATATATTTTGAGGAGAGCTAATTAAAAGCAAAGGCAGCTAAATGGCAAAGCGGACAGAATGCCTACTGCTGAGCCTAAAGTCAAAAAGACTCATCTTCCTGAGTTCAAATCTGGCCTCAGACACTTATAACTGTATGATCCTGGGCAAGTCACTTCACCCTGCTTGCCTCAGTTTCCTCATCTTTAATATGAGCTGGAGAAGGAAATGGCAAAACCACTGCAGCATCTCTGCCAAGAAAACCCCAAATGGGGTCACTGACCAACAGTTAAAGGCAGAGAAGTCTATTTTTGTTTTCATTTTGTTTTTATATCACCAGCCTTTTGCACATAGTATGGGCTTAATAAGTGTTGAATTGAAGTGGAAAGAGCCCTGGAATTTGGAATCCCAGGACCCTGGTTAGAATCCTGGCTTTGCTCCCTATTACCTGTGAAACTATGACCTTCAGTTTCCTCAGCTTTAAAATGAATGCTCTCTAAGGTCCCCCAAAATCATCTGAGTCAGGGGAGGTTCAAATTCCCCCCTCTAAGTCATATGTCATAGACTTGGAGCAGTCATAGTCACATTTCATCTAGTCTAGGCGGTCTTAATCTGGAATCTGTAGGTTTATATCTTAATAATATTTGACATTTAATGCAATTATATTAATATTATTTAGCATTTAATAAAATCATAATTATTTAATATTTTGATGGCATTGATATTTTACTCATTGGTTTCCTTTGTAATGCCATGTGTTTTATTCTATGCATTTGAAAGTATTATTCCAAGAAAAGATCCCTAGGCTTCACCAGACTGCCCAGGGGATCCAGGATGACAAAGAGTAAGACCCACCCTCACTAGTCCAACCCCCTCACTCTAAAGATATGGAAATGAAAGGCATGCAGAGATGATGTGACTTACTTAAGGTCACACAGGAAGCAAACGGCAGAGTCATAATCTGAAATTCCAGATCTACCACACTAGTGAGCTAGTGAGCATAATTACAGTTATGAGAGAGTGTAAGCCCCTACCTGGTTGACATCTATGTAGCAGACTAGGCATGCAACTAATCACATAGCAGATTGTCAGTTGGGGTGCCCTTTCCCCTTCGACATGCTCAGGTCTTTGGGAGACAGCTCCAGAAGGGTGACTGGGGCACCAAGGGAGAGGCCTTCCCTATTGTCTCACCCTACTCCTTCCCAAAATGCCCATACCCCCCAAAATAGAGAGGAGGCAGGCGCTATAAACTCTGTTCAATTCAACAAATACTAATTAAGAGCCTACTGCACGCCAGGCACTGTGCTAAGGGCTGGTCCTCTAAAGGGCCCGCGTTCCTCGGCAACGCGATCTGCACCAAGCCTTGGTGCAGGGCGCCCCCTGATGGTCAGCGGAGAGTAACCGGCCGAACCGCGGCTGGCTTGACAGAATCCTCCTCCACGTGTGGCAGAAGCTCCTGGGGTCACCTCACGCTTCCCGCTGCTTCCGAGGCAGTCCGGGCAAACAGCAGGATGGACGAGGACCGGATGATAGGGAGGCAGAGATCGGGCGCGGTCTCTCCTCCCTCCCCTCTCTGCCCAACAAAGGTGCCTTCCCGCGCCGCCCAGGCGCCAGGTGTTCAGCACACCTGCACCCAGCTCGGAGGAGGAGGGATGGTCTGGGTCCGGTTCCTCTCGAAGGTCACCCTGCCCCTATCTGATCCCTGGCCCTTCCCTTCCCTGGCAGGAAAGCAGGCACAGACCGGGGGTCCCGGGAGCGGCGCGGTCAACGCCAGGATGAAGAGGAGGCAGAGCTTCGGCCCAGACTCGGACCCGGGACGGGCTCAGATTGTCGGCCCAGAATCCCAGTCCCAGACTAGGAGATTCCCAGGGCGCGTAGTGCGTTTCTAAGCAGAGTCCAAAAATGTCTACCCCAGGCTGACCTCCCCCTCCCGGGCTGGGTTTCTTCCAGCTGCCCGGGGAGGTGAAGAAGGGTCCGTGGCTTTGAGCGGAGGGTGGAGGAGAGCCAAAGGCCCCCACAAGAAACGGAGACTGTTTGGGACTTTGGTGACGGTCCCTAAAGGGGGGCAGCGGAGGTGGTCCACATCTGGAGCTGCCCAGGAGTGGGCGCAGGAGCCGGAGGAGAGGATACAAGGTGGGGGGTGGGGGATCCCCAAGAGGAGGAGCTATGAGGGCTCCCTCGGAGCGCCTGCGGGGGCTCAGCCTCCATCCCCACCCCGCCCACCTGCCTCAAACCCCCGATTAGGCTCGGCCCTCCCTTCCCCCACTCCCCCCACTCCCACCGCGGCCTGGCTCTCCCGCGCTGCCCACCTGGGAGGAGAATGTGGGGCTATGGAGGCACGGAGCTGAGCCGGGCCAGGCCGGGCCGGGCCGGGTCAGGCTGAGCCGAACTCTGTGCTGGGCGGAGCTGCGCTGAAAGGTCTGCGGCGGCGGCGGCGGCGGCTGCTGCTGCTTCTGCTGCTGCAGGGCGGGCAGGGTAAGGGAGGGGGAGGGGGTTCCGAGCGCCCAGCCCCCCGCAGCCCTGACTCCGCCCCTTTCGCCCTACTCCTTGCACACTCCTCCCTCCCATCCTCCTCCTCTCCTTCCCTCCTCCTTTCCATCCCTCCTCCATCCTTCTCCATCCTCCCTCCTTCACCCCCCTCCTCCCCGGCGGCGCATCTGTCTGGGCGTCCCTCCCTCCCCCGGTGCAGCCCCCGGCGGCGGTGGCGGTGGCGGTGGCGGCGCTGTCCGCTGCGGCTCGACTCGGTAGGAAGACAGGCTTGGTCGCCCCCTCTCCAGAGGGGAAGGGAGGTAGAGTCAGGAACGGCGGCCGAGGACCTGGGGAGGGCAGGGCAGGCGCAGGTACCGGCCCCTAGCACGGACCGACAGACCCCACGCCTGGGGCCGCTTGGGCCCCCAGCAGGGTCCCACCTCTGCCGGCCCCAGAGGAGGTAAGTAAAGGGGAGCCGACGGCTGCGGAGAGGGAGGATGGGGAACCCGGATCCCACCCGCACCTCTTCCTCCTTCCCCAAGATCCCCCAGTATCGTAACCACGGGGCCTGGCGCGACCCGCAGCTCCCCGGAGGCTGGGGGCTGGGGGCTGGGGACAGGGGGCGGGCCTGGCAGTGCGGGAGGGAAAGGGTTAATGTTCCCTGGGCAGGGGAGGATTAAAAAGAGAACGATCAGGGCTCTAGAGGCTGGGCCTCCCCTCCCCCTCGGCCCCTGTGTTGGGGACAGATGGGGGGAGGGGAGCATAGGACCGGATTGGGGAGGGGGCGAGATTTGGGAATGGAGGAGGGGCAAAGCTGGGCCCATCCAAGGGCCCTGAAGCCACCGAAATGGAGAGGTAAGGGTTGAGGCCGCGTGGGAGAGGTCAGCTCCAGTCCCTCCCCACCCTGCAATCCTCCAGATCTTCCCCCACCCCAACCTGCTTCTAGAACAGAGGGGGAGGGGCTGAGGCCAAGCTTGGCACCTGTGTGTATGTGACTATCTGTGAATGTGAGAGCATCCGTGGGCAAGTGTGAATCTGTTTCTCTCTTAGCTTGCACATAGGTGGATGTATGTGTGCACGTGTGGGGATCAGGTCAGTCTTATTCATGTATGCAATTCGGTACATATGTACACCCAGGTGCAAGTGGTCTCAGAGGTGTACATCGAGACTACATGTGTGTGTCTACACTTTTGTGGGATTGTCCCTGAATCTGTCTCAGTAATGTCATGTAGGCTGCTCTCCACCATAAGGAGAAGTGATGGCACTGAGGGTTACATGAGCCAGTGTGGGATGCAGACTAGAATCTGTGTGGCCTGTGGGCGTTTTTAAGGTTGTGTGTATTCCTGCAATTCTTAGGCAGCATCTGTGTGTGTGTGTGTGTGTGTGTGTGTGTGTGTGTGTGTGTGTGTGTGCGCGCGCGCGAGCACATGCAGTAGATAAAGCCCACCCACACTCCCTTGGGAGAAGGACTGCCTGGAGGCAGGGGGCTGAATGAAATGACCCAGGGACCTTGCAGAAGGTACAGGGTTTCTGGATGTTTGTCCAACCCAGAGCTGGAAGGAAACAGGACTTACAAAAGGTTGTCAGTCAATGACCCCTTAAGACTCCAGGGGCACATACAAGGTCCCAGTCTTGTGGTGGGACCTAAAAAGTGGGATGAGGAGAATATGAGCAAAATTCCAGGGTAACCAGTTGGTCAAGAGCATTTATAAAGTGCTTGCTATCTTCTGGGCACTGTGCTGATCTCTGAGGGAACAAAGGAAGATAAAAACGTAGTCATTGCCCTCAGGGAGCTTCCATTCTAATGGGGTAGCTCACATTCCAATAATGATTTCATACAAGATATATAAAATGAAGTGGTTGGTAATCTCAGAGGGCCAAGCTGTGGAGACGGTAAGGATTTGAAATGAGTCTTGAAGGGAGCCATGGAAACCAAGGGCAGGTGAGGGGGAGAGAGCATTCCAGGCATTCCAGTACAAAAGCCCAACATCCAGAGATGAATTGTGTTTAAAGAAGAACAACTGTAGCTGGATTGCAGAGTAGAAGAAGGGAAGAAAGCAAAGAGGGAAAAGACTGGAAAAGGTAGGAAGGAGGCCTGGGTTGGGAAGGTTGGGAAGGCCTTTAAATTCGAGCCAAGAATTCTATATTTGATACTAGAGGAAGAGGGAGCCACAAAAACTCATTAAGCAAGGGGCTGTCATGGCGGAATGTATGAGCTAGAGAAATCACCTTGGCCGCTGAGTGGAGGATGGGCTGGAGTATTAATAATAATGAAGAGAGTTCACATTCATATCGGGCTTTACTATATGCCAGGCACTATACTGAGCCCTTTCCAGTTGCCATCTCATTTGAGTAGGAAGTGATGAGGCAGGGAGAACAGTCAGAAGGGTCTTGTAGCCTAGTCAAGAGGTGATGGGGGTCTACACCAAGGTGACTGTGTGAGTAGAAAAAAGGGGAAGGATACAAGAGATGTTATAAAGGTAGAAATGACAAGACAGCAACAGGTTGGATATATGGGGTGAGTGCCAATGAGGAATCGAGAATGATACCAAAATTTTGACCCTTGGTACCTAGAAAGATGGTGGTGCCTTCAATAAATAAGGGGAAGAGGGGAGGGTATGAATGGAAAGGTGAGTTCTATTTTGGATATGTTGGGTTTCAGATGCCCATAGGATGATTTGAGATCAAAAGCCAGCTGGTGCTATGGGACTGGAACTCAGAAAAGGGATTGGGTCTGAATATATAGATCTGGGAATTATCCACATAGACAGATAATTGAAGCTATTGGCGCTAATGAGATCACAGAGTGAGAGAGTATACAGAGAAAAGGTCACCCAGGACAGAACCTTGGGGGATACCCATGGTTAGTGGGCATGACCTAGATGAAAATCTAGCAAAGGAGACTGAGAAGGAGCCATTAGAGAGGTAGGTAGGAGGGAAACCAGGAGAGAAAACCTAGACAGGACAGAGTATCCAGGCGGAGATGGTGATAGACAGTGTCAGATGTTGCCAAGAGGTCAAGAAGAATGAGGATTGAGAAGAGGCCATTAGATTTGGCAATAACAAAGTCATTGGGAGTTTTGGAGACAGCTGTCCCAGGTGAATGATGAGATCAGTGGGAAGGCAGGTTGCAGAGGGAGAAAATGGACATACGTTGTTTGGGCCTGATGGGTTTGGGCTAAAATGTACTGACAGTTCATGCTGTCTTCCCCCTTCCAATTATGTTGTATTTGTTTGCTTGCCTGTGCAATGGGATTGGCTCAGGTTTTTTTTTGTCCATGTCCAAAGTGCTTAGCACCAAGCCCAACATGAAGTATTCATTAAATGTGGAATCGAATTTGTATCAGAAATTAGTAGGACCTAACCAGGGTTGATTTTAGGGGTAGCACCACACCTCAGAGGACCTTTGCCCCCAAATCTCCCACCTTCCATTCAGTTTCACATTTATTAAGCACCTACTGTGTGGGAGGTCCTACACCAGTTAGGTCAATAGAGAGATGGAAAGGACAACCCTTTGCCTTCATGGCATTACAATCTAGTAAGAGGAGTTAGACACAAGCATGACTAATTATCATGTGAAGGAAGTCTAAGTGCTTGAAAGCAGGGCTTTCTGAGGGTCAGAAGAAGGTAAGGAAAGGAATCACAAAGGGAGCCAGGGAAGCAGGAGCTAGGGAGGGAGGCATCATGCCCAAGGCTTGGGCAGCTGGCTGCAAAGAATGGTTTCCTTGGAGTCAGGAAGACCTGAGCTTGAACCCTGCCTCAAACACTTACCAGTTGCCTGACCCTGGCCAAGTCACATATCTCTCAGCCTCAGTTTCCTTTTCTATAAAATAGGGAAATAGTATCACCTACCTCTCAGGGTAGTTACAAGGACCGAATAATATAGATAACATGTAAATTAGAGTTTGTAAACCTTCACTAACAATAGATAGCATTTATATAGTGTCTTAAGGTTTGCAAAGCTCTAATTTACATGTTTTCTCATTTGGTCCTTACAACAGCCTAGAAAGGCAGGTACTACTGTGATACCTTAAAGAGCCATATACATGTTGGCTGTCGAGAGAATGAAGAAGAATTAAAAATGTTGTCATTAATGAGCCAATGTCAACTTGGGTTGAAGTGGATAGACAGTTTGCTCCATTGATATCTTCATGATATCTAGAGAAATCAAGGAAGGCCACCAGCATCTTGGGTGGACCACTTGTGTTGAACTTCTGGGAGGAGGTGGAGGAGAGGTGCCCAGGATGGACAGGTATGGATGGGATGGGATGGGCATGCCTGGAGAGAATACCTGAATCTCACAGGACTGCAGATCCATTGGAGTCAGCTTGGAGAGAGGTCCCTAGTGGAGTACCCAAGGAATCTGACATGGCCTTATGTTTTTTTCATTTCATTTTTTATCAAAAACTTAAATAAAGACATAGAGGTTATGCTTATCAAAGTTTCAGGTGACTCAAGAGTGAAGGGATAGATAACATTCTGGGAAACTGTCAGGCTCTAAAGAAATCTCATCTGTCCTGTCATTCAGGCTAGAGCACAAGACAGGTGTAGTAAGATTCACTTGAATAAAGCTCAATGTAAAGTTCTACACTGGGTTCAAGAAATCACTTTCACAAAAATCAAGTTTCGTAGGATCCCAGGTTTACAACTGGCTTGGGGGAGGAGGGACACAAAGATCTTCTGATCTCATCTTATTGTACAGATGAGGAACGTAAGATTAAGAGAATCTAAGGGACCCAGATCTCTTAAGTTCCATAAACCCACCAATCATACAAGTAATGAAAGAGCAGAGATTTGAACTCAGGTTCACTGAGTACATAGTTAGGACTTTTTCTGAACACCAAGCTACCACCCAAATAGGAGAAGTCTGGCAGCCAAAAGAGCTAATGGCCTCTTCAGTCGAGTTCACAGATGCCTGCTGAGGTGGTGCAGTGGATAGAGCCCTGGGCCTGGAGTCAGGAAGACTCATCTTCCTGAGTTCAAAGCCAGCCTCAAATATTTACTAGCTGTGTGACCCTGGGCAAGTCACTAAACCCTGTTTGCCTTAGTTTTCCCATCTGAAAAATGAGCTGGAGAAGGAAAAGGCAAACCACTCCAGTATCTTTGCCAAGAAAACCTCAGATGGAGTCATGAAGAGTCAGACATGATACATAAATGACAAGTATTATCAGAAAAGAAAATATTTATACAGCACTTAGCACAGTGCTTTGCACATAGGAGATGCTTGACAAATGCTTGTTGCCTTCTTTACCCCCTCTAATAGCATCCAGAATTAGGGAGGGGAAAGTCCCTACTCTGCCCTGGTCAGACACGTCTGGAAGATTCTTGGTGCCACATTTTAGGAAGGCTATTGACAAGCCTAAGTAAGGCATCCAGGAAGGTGAAGGGCTTTGAGCTAATCTAATATGGTGGTATCCAGTCCTCTTCTCATCCCGGAACCCATGTCCCTATTGAGATCTC